ATAAACATGAAGATTTTTGATTATTATGAATTTTAATTTGGGACGGATTTATGTTTTTTTAAGAAATATTCTACCAAAGGTCAATGATTCTTTTATAAGTTGAAAAAAATGATTAAAATCTTCAAAATTAATGGTAACCTAAATCAACATGAGCGAGTTTGACATCACAGACATAACCTTGTTAGATTTCAACAATGTACATTATAGTGCTCCAAACTTGTCTAATGGTTATACAGGTCATCCGAAAATTCTTTGTCCTATAGGCAAAATTCATTTTTATACAAACCATCAAAAAGATGGGGGATAATTTGTTTTTGCCATTCCGTTGGTAACACATCGAATTATAAACATGTTTTACACGTACCAAAATTTCTCTGCCAAATTTTATGAAAATCGGCCCATAATTAATCCTACCTCCATATAAGGTCCTCTTTAGAAGATTAGCGGCTTATTAAGTAAGAGTGCAGCGATGAAATTCGACTTAAACATGTTTAATATGAAACGAAATCTTTTTTCAAAATGTTATGAGGATCGATCCATAATTGGCCCTGCCCCTCATAAAAGGTTTCCTTGAGAAGATAACTTTAATGATCATGACTGAATTAAAATACAGCCATGAAGTTCGACATCGCACAGTGGTATAGATACTTTTATTTTTGAAAATAGTTCGGTGTCTCTGGAACTATTGGATTTATCGCAATGAAATTTCACATATTTTGATATGAGATGATGAGTAGTAGGTAATCGAGGGCGAAATGGGGGCTGGTGGGTAGCCCCTAAAAGTTGATCACCTCGGGTATTCATTTTTTTTTTTTTTAATTCGCCAAAAATCCATAATCTGAATGAGCTGAAATTTAAAATATAACTACTCCTTGAAAAGATATACAAAAAAATATGCTTTAAGAAATATTTCGGTTTAAATTTTTTTTAATCTTAAATTTTCCCGATCTATTTTTAATTTTTTAAGTGTGGCAGTCTTACGGAGGGTCCTAAATTTTTTAGAAAATATCCCCTAGTTTTCTGGCAAAATTCTAAATAAATCAAAAAAACTTCTCAACAGAGTCCGCCCCTTTTATCGACTCTAACCAGTGATTGCCTTTTCCTTTGTCGGCTTTAGATTGAGCTTGACTCATGACACCTGTCATTGCCCAACGGCACTACTATGGCAAGAGATTAGATAGCTCGAGTACTTGAGTAAAGTGCACGTATACTGGATCGGAAATCCCTAATACGTAAAATGCCACCTGCGTGTAAGAAGCACAATGGGGTGGTGGTGAGGCGTTACAAAAGCTCATCCAGTGGTAGAAAAAGACCACCGTGAAATAGGCAAACAAGGCAGGTGTTCACGTAAAGCACTTCGACATTCGTGTCCAAAAATCCTCGTGAGGTCTTCCAAAAATGTTATATTTGTTGCAATAAAACTGTTTTATTAATTTAAATATTTCGCCAAAAAGTTAATCTTTTGTCATATTTCTCATTTATTTTAAGCTCGGTTTAAGTTTACAACCCCAAAAAAATTTTAGAAGGCGAAAGGCAAAATTCGTAACATATTTTTTTTTTTTGTAGAACTGCTACACGTCTTCCGCAGTTCGACAAAGAGTCAATGCATCCGAAAAAGACAGTGATTTTCACTAACCACCTGGTTGCCTCTAATTTGTCTTTCTTCACGGATGTACTCTTTGTAAATGAGGGTGAAGATAATCGTCACAAACGTAAACGATTAAGCGACGATTGACTTCCTAGTAGGGCAAGCACATGTTAAAATAGCTAGTCACCAGGACAGTCGGTAACCAGGACAGGGGTAACCCTAAGTGGTAGGTTAAATAGGTAGTTCGGAATTGTTCAACCGAACTGTTGGGATGTACATTTTTTGTCGTATACGTAAGTAAACCTGTTTGCATTTCTTTTTCGTGTAGTTACGTTAATAGCCTGAACACTGACCCCCTTCTTTTATTGGTAATTAAAAATATGTGATATTTATTTGCATTTAGTATTTTACGTAATTATGCAATTGCACTGACTAAATGTCAATTAGTATTAAATGCTAGTCCATAAAAACTGTATTTCAAAAAGTTTTTCGTGAGCTCATGAAACTAACAAAACGTCAATGTTAAGAAACGTAAAAATTCCCGTACTTTATTTTGTTAAAGTATAAAAATTAGTTTTAAGTATATTTTTAATTGTGGGAATATTTGCAATAAATTAATTTGAAACAACTAATATGTGTATGAATGACGTTGTGTTTGGATTAATTTAACTACATACATACATATTCAAATTTGTCAGTTAAAGAGGAAATACTTTTAGTCTAGTATATATTTTAGTTAGTCATTCATTTAATTCCATTGTTGTAAATAAAATTTGTAACATTTTTCACTTGTACTTGGCCAACCCCATCAAACAATTGGTTTTTTTTAACAAAATGTTGATTACTTTGGAATTTATGGCAACCTTGACTTTAGTGTTCTGCGTTTTGTTTTTCGATTTTCTGTTGTTATTTTCGTTTTCAATCCATTAAAAGAAATCCACAAAATAATTACTTTTATGTTGTTCATGTTTGTGTGAACGTATGTACGTTTTCTGTTCATTTCTTGTTATTTTACTATAAAACTATATCGGTATAATCAGCCAGGTAAACGGGAACAATAAAATTTTGCTAAAAAAAAAAGTAAAAAAAAAAAAACAATTTAAATGCACTGAATACATCCAAATACTTCACACAAATAATGTAGTGTACATTGTATAGCAGAACACTAAGTGATATACAATCACATTTGCTGTTCGTTTTTTCGTTTGTGGTCAATATGTTTTACAAAAATAAATTTACTTATCGACATTTATTTTATTTTTGTGTCTTTTTTCAATACAAATTTTTATTTTTTACTAGAAAACATTTCTTTTACTGGCAATGAATACAAGCGGATCTATTTTATGACAAGAATTATAAATATGACGAAATTTTATTTGCCTTTTGTTTTTGGTTATATTACAAAAACATTACAGAAAATACCAGTAATGAAAGTGACAGTAAAAACCTTTAATTTGTTGTTTGCGAGGTTAAAAAACAATTAATAAAAAACTTCAACACTTGTCAAACTAAAGAAACTTGAATAGAAAAATTAGTTTCGTTATAACAGTAAAATATGTATGTTCCAAATCGTCAAACATTTATGAATGATTTGAGTATTTATTAAATAATGTTTAAATATGAAAAGTATTTATTTTACCTAGCTCCTAAATATTTCTAAATTAATTAAATCCCAAATCCGGAAATAACTAGGCCTGATGTACGCCATACTTTGCAGTGGATCTACAGTGTCACATAATCTGGAAAAACTTTAGGTGACGATAAATGGAGAATGTCATTAAAGCAAAAATTGGCGCCAATAAATGCTGATATATCCATGCGGAAAATAGAAAATGTCCATATATCAGTAGGGTTATAATAGTGTTTACAAGAACATGATTACATTCCAAATCCAAATCGGAAGACATCGATTTTAAAAGTTGGGTCACTTGACACGAAATTGTACATATACATATTTTAAATTTCAGCTCATAATAATCATAATTGGATTGGTGATTTCAAAAAATTCGAGACCAGAGGTGACCAACTTTCAGGCCCCGAAATTTGATATCGCTGCCATTGATTTGATCCTATTTGATTTACTGCGTGCTTAAAAACTAACTCGAAAATTATTCGAAGTTATGCCCAAAAGAATATTATTATAAAACTATAACCATGGATTATTAATTATAAATATTATTATAAATTATACACTGAAAATAATCCGTGCCTAACTTTACGTAATTTCGTAATCACTTTTTTCGTAATATTTTTGTATATATTATGAAAATTTGTTTTATTTTAAGAAAATAATTCCGTTATGACATGACCAGGGCTGCCAGATAAATTTGTAGAAATATCGGCATTTATCGGCACTTACATTTTAAAAATCGGCAATAAATCGGTAATTTTTGATATTTTGAACTAAAGAAACATATCAAAAATCACAATATAGTTTTTACATACATAATTCAGGGAATCTTTATTTAGAAGAGATCTAATAAAAGAACCCTTTCTACATTGTTTTACTGGATTAAACTCGACTAGAATTTGTATCACTTTTGCAGAAAATTTAAATGTATAATTATTTGTTGGTCAGATTTTTGGTCGAACCATAAACATTTCTTTTTAAATTTTTAAATTTTAACACCCTTGGATCAGACTTTTGGAAACCCATTCAGGATTTGCAAACATATACATATATCTCGATCCAATTGACATTGCTGATAGAGCATATTGTATTTACTGTCATCTGAATTTTCTTTTCCCAATTGTTTTAAAAGCTCCATGTAATTTTTGCTTTTGTAAAGTTTAGTTGTAACAATAAATTCGTTAGAATCGCAAAAAATCAGTCGAAATAAACAATTTACAATATTTTTGGATTGGGTAAAAGATCGGCATTTTTGAATCAAAAATCGGGAAATCGGCACTTTACATTTTATTGGGTAAAATATCCACGCCTAATACATATATACGAAGAATGTCGTACATTGTACGAATGTTTCGTTGCTTCTCAGCACGAAATTGTTTCGTACTATATATAAAATTATACGAAATATTTTAGTATAATGCAAAATAAATTTACGAAAAAACTAGTAACAATTTTTTTTTTCGTCAAGTTAAGCATGGATTATTTTCAGTGTACATGTAACATTTACTGAAATTATAAAATCTGTCTGTTTAAAATTAAATACAAAATCTTTCTTTATACTAAAATGTTTCTTACATATTATGAAAGAATTTCGTAGTGCGAAACCATAAATCATTTCATACAAATTACAAAAGTAGTTTACTTCTAATAGTGTCTTTTAGAAGAGTCGTGATAAAAGAACAATTTTTTCCTATGAACATATGATAATATTAATCTTGGTTCTAAATAGATTTTCCATAATGTTTTTAAAAACGTCTGTATGTATTTTAAAGAAACAAAATGTTTGATATTGAATGCTTTTCATTTTATTCAAACTTATTTCAAATACAGTAATAAATCTCAAAACAGTTTACCACAAAATATATTATCACATGAACACTTAAATCTATCGAATATAAAAAATACAAAATACTGCAACAAGTTCCCATGGTAATGATTTACAACATTCCATTTCTAATTTAATGATGATAGTTATAATAAGAAGAAGCAGCTTTGTGATAACTGACTACCTCGGGAACATGGGCATAATGGGTTTTAACAGCAACGGGAGCAACATGAGCTACTTTAACCAAAGGTTCACGATGTACAACGGCATTGAATCCATTATGATCATCAGCTGTGTAGGTGACAGTACGTTTGTAGCCATCGGCATCAATTAAAGTGTATTGACCATGCACAGCATCACCCTCACGTTCCTCATGTTGAGACTTTGAGTCGCCTGTTACCTTATCATCTACACCATAAGAGAATTTATACTGAGGGTGTGGATCGTATTCTTCAGCTGTTTTGGAGTAAACCTTGTGGGCTATAGGCACAACATGATGTTGTACTGGCGCAGCATGATAGGCAGGTTCAGCATAGTAAACTTTTTGATGCTGGAGAGGAACATAACCTGCTGTAACTGTGGCCACTAGAGCTAAAGCAAATACAAGCTGAAATATGGTCAGAATACGATAGGAGTTCGATTTATTGTCAGGAATTGAATGAAATAAATGAAGAACTTACTTTGAATGCCATTGTTCTTAAGTTGATCTTCGTTCTTTACGTGTGACTTAACAAATGTGGAGTGTTAATTTGTTAACATAATTAACAGCTTTATATATGAAGTGCGAATAATTATATTTTTGTTAATATTTTGTTGAAACACATGTTCATATATATGTTAGGTAAATATTTAGAATGTATGTGTGTTAATTTTTTGGGTTTGATCTAATTTAATGTTTTCTAAAAAACGTAATTAATTAATTTATTTTGTTTAAATAACTGCAATTTATAAATAAATTATATTTATACTTTACTGTCTAACATTTCACATGAAACACCCTAATTCCAATGAATTTAAAAATACTACAAACTACAATAAACAAATTAATTAAAATTTTGATATTTAATGATTATTTTCTTAATTTAACCTAAAAAAATCATTAAATTGGATCAATTCAAAAATATATCCACATATACATTCTCAAATAGCAAAAACATTCTAAATACACATACCTACAACATATAAACATGTGTTTTAACTAAATATTAAACAATTAACCCAAAATATAACTATTATTATTTCATATATAAAGCTGTTAGTTGACTTAAATATTATCACTTCACATTTGTTAACACAAAAGTAAAGAACCAAACTCCATATAAGTAAAATGGCATTCAAAGTAAGTTCCTAAAACATTTAATTTCTTAAAACAAATACTAATTGATTCTATTACTCTCTTACAGCTTGTACTTGCTTTAGCTCTCGTGGCCACAGTTGCAGCTGGTTATGTTCCTCTGCAACAACAAAAACTTTATCACGCAGAACCTGTCTATCATGCCGCTCCAGTACAACATCATGTTGTGGCTATACCCCATAAGGTTTACACCAAAACAGTTGAAGAATACGACCCACATCCTGAGTACAAATTCTCTTATGGTGTAGATGATAAGATAACTGGCGACTCAAAGTCTCAACATGAGGAACGTGATGGCGATGTTGTACATGGTCAATACAGTTTAATTGATGCCGATGGATACAAACGTACTGTCACCTATACAGCTGATGATCATAATGGATTCAATGCCGTTGTACGTCGTGAACCTTTGGTTAAAGTAGCTCATGTTGCTCCCGTTGCTGTTAAAACCCATTATGCCCATGTTCCCGAGGTAGTCAGTTATCACAAAGCTGCTCCTTCTTATTATAACTATCATCATTAAATTGTTGTAAATCATTATCATGGGACCTTTTTGCAGTATTTAGTATTTTTTCATCTTTAGATTTAAGAGTTTATGTGATATATTTTGTATTAAATAATCTTTCTATATATAATACTTGAATAAAATAAAAAGCATTCAGTTATTCGCTGTCTTCCGTTTTGTTTTTTTTTTTTTTTTGTACCCCACACCATAATTGTGCAGAGAGCAATTGTTTGAAGGAACAGATTTTCTATAAATTGGACCAAAAATCATTATCTCCCTTGTAAATATTTGTATTATAAGTAATAATATTTTAATATTGTAAAAGTTACGGTAAATTTATTATAAGTGTTCAAATCGTCATAGTTTCATCAAATATATGTATATGAATATTTATAAGAGGTCTATATTCGGCTGTTCCGAATCTTATTTTTTTTTTTTTTAATTTAAAAACACTCGATTTTAATTCATAAATTGTTTCCGTCCTTGACTAATAAACACAAACCAACTAAAAAACCAACATATGATTTATTCATTATTTTAAAAATTTTCTTTGAATATTGTTTAGTACTGCGTTCACACGATGCAATTATTCGTCATTCACGCTCTCATTCTCCATTCAACCCACAATTAGGAACTGAATTACACGATTCGCCATTCAAAATTTCAGCTGCGAATTACATAAGCTGTACGTAATTCAGTTTGTATTACCTACGAATTATGAATGTGTCGTGGAAATGGATTAATTGGCAGTTGTAATTCAGAAGCCGAACTAAGTAATTGAAATCTTCGTGAGAACATGGCATACAATATATTTAAAAACATGTTTCCATAATCTTCAGAAAAAAAGAAGCTAAATCAGATTTGAACAAAAAAAGGCAGAAAATGTTAATGGGTTAAAAAATAAGGCTTTACAATGAGTAACTTTTCATACTTTAAAATCTGTATTAAAACAAGTGAACAATTATAGCACACTTATACATGAAAGCTGGGAATCGGTACATTCTATCTTTATTATTTATTTAAAAAAATTTAAATTTAAACAAGATTTCGGCTGTGCCTAATCTTATATACCCACCATCAAATCATATGTCTTAAATTTGAAGTGAATTTCGGAAAATGCAACCACAATTTAAACATTTATTAGATTTTTTCTGAACTTATTGACGAATTTTATCGATATACTGATATTATTAAGCCAGTTATGGCCGTTAATATCATACTATGAAAAAAAAAAACAGTTAGAACAATGTTCCTATGAAACTTGTTTATGTCGAATTTCATTGCTTTACTATAATTTTATAGAAGTCGTTTATGTCGAATATTGTTGCGGAATTTCGTGGTTTCCATAAAACATGTTAATGTCAATTTCGTTGATATACTGAAATTTTAAAGCAAATTATGAACTTTAAAGTAATTTTCTGAGAGGAACCTTATATGGGGGGTGAGGTTAATTATGGGCCGATCTCCATAAAATTTGGAAGAGAGGTTTTAGTTCTCCGAAAACTTGTTTACGTCGAATATCGATTTCGAATTTTGCAGCAAGTTATGAGTGTTATTGTTATTTTATGAGGGGACCTTATATCGGGGGTAGGTCAATAATGAACCGATATTCATATAATTAGGCAGATAGATTTTAGTTCCTCTTAAATTTATTTATGTTGACTTTTGTTGATTTACTGTGATTTTGAACAAAGTTATGAGCTTTAAAGTAATTTTCTGAGTGGAACCTTATATGGGGCGTAGGGTCAAATATGGGCCGATCTCCATAAAATATGGGGGAAATATTTTAATTCCCCAAAATCTTGTTTACGTTTAATTTCGTTGCTTAACTATCATTTTGAAGCAAGTTATAAGAGTTAAAGTCATTTTCTGAAGGGGATCTTATATGGGGGTTGGGGTCAATTATGGGCCGATTTCAAAAAAATTTAGCAGAGATATTTAGGTTCCCTTAAAACTTGAATATGTCGAATTTCGTTGCATTGCTATCATTTTGAAGCAAGTTATGATCGAGAGGGACCTTATATGAGACCTTATGGGGTAGGGTCAATTATGGACCATTCTCGTAAAATTTGGTAGAGAGATTTTGCCTCATATAAAACTTGTTTAATTAGAATTTCATTGGCATACTTATGTTTTTAAACAATCTATGACTGTTTACACTGTTTTTCGGGGGGACACTTGTATGGGGGCTATGCGAAAACATGAACCGATATGGCCTATTTTCAATACCAAAGAAACTGCATCAATAAAAAAGATATGTGCTAAATTTCAGCTCCTTAGCTCTTCTCGTTCGGGCTCTATCGTGCTTTCAACATACAGACGGACGGACATGGCTAGATCGTCTTAGAATTTAATAAGGACTCAGAATATATGACCAATATGTGACCAATATTTCGATGTGTTACAAACGGAATGACAAAAACATTCTTGTTTGATGGTGGGTATAAAAAGTCTAATTTTTGAAACAAAAAACATGCGGCAAATGTTCTTTAAGCTTCCATTTATTTTTTTAATCCTGATGAATTGAATTAAATAATATTATTTTGAAGCAGAGGTTCTCAGCTTCATTAGATATTAGAAAGTGCGAAACAGCGAATTTAACTTATTTGAAATAGAAGCCCAATCTTTCCAAAAATCAATTAAAAGTTATAAAAAAGTTAAACAACACATTTATAATAATTATTAAAAATCTAAAAATGTTAATAATAAGCTAAAGAATAAAAAGGCTAAATTTAGTCTCAAAAAGGTTAGCCTGGGAATACTGAATACAAGTTTAAAATAATTTATCAATTTGATTACTTTCTGAACGAATAATCATAGCTTGCTTAGTTTGGCTTAAATTAATATAAATATAAACAAACCGTTATAAAATAGATAAAGTGAAATTAATTTAACTTAATTTAATTAAACAAACATGAGTAGTTTGTTGAATTTTATGAACATATTTGCCTAAAATAATAATGAATATGCAATAAATAAATTCAATTACTTAAATAGTCAAATTATTAATGACACTGAATTTCGAATTCAAAACGATGATTCAGCAAGCGTATGTACTATAAATGCGCAACTTAAAAAAACCAGTTAAATATTTGAACAACTTACGCATGAAAACTAAGTTTAATAACAAAAACATTTTTTTCAAATTTTATCAGTAACAGTGACTTAGTTAAGTGAACAGTTAATTTTTTACAATTATTATTCATACGTGTAATGAATTAGACAGAGTATTTAAAGAATGTTTTATTTTAATATGGTTTGACTTCTGTAAGTTATTTGGCTCCTTCATAACTATTTATCATATGTTTTTTTATGAAAATGTATTTTATTAATATAAAATATGGAAAACTATTGAGGACATTGTTATTATTTATACCTACCTATGGTAATTTTGTATATCATTAGACAATTACAAAATTTAAGAAATTGTAGTTTGAAATACTGTATTATAAGCGTGTTTGGTATTAAATATAATACATGACAGATAATCCGCAATACAGACTCATTCACAAAACTATCTGCTTACATGTACAATAGAAAATTTCATTCATGTAGTAAAATACTTAATAAACAAAAAACATTATTGCTTGTAGTAAACATATCATACATATCGTCGCCTTAATTAAGAAAATATGTATCTAAGTTTAAATATATGTGTGTAAAAGGTAAAATATTTTATCAAAAGCTGAAAATTAAGATGAAAGAAAAGTTTAAATGCAGTTTAAACTGTTTAATAAGCATTTATTATTTGACAAACCAAATTATTATTATTAATAGTTTATTCTATATCATTCTACTAGTAAATGTCAAATAAACCATTTTAAAAACAAATTTCTAAAATTTTCTAAAATAAGGTACCGATATGTGTATACATACATATGTATGTGCAATGTACAATATGTACATAACAGTAATACACACATGTATTTTTATTTTATATAATTATATATAAAAATTGTACATTAGGACTGACCTATTCCAAAGAAGACAAACAAAAATGTATCATAAAGTATGTCCAAAATTCTGAAAGAACCCATGAAAATATTATCAGAAAACAAAAATTTTTATCATTACCAGGGAAACCAAAAACATGCTCTTAAAAATCGTTAAATATACAATAAAAAATAAAATTTGTATAATATGCTCTATTTACATTACCATAAAGTGGCTCATTACATGTCAATTACAAATACTTGTAATGTGTAATTAAACAATAACCAATTAAAATTAGTTGTAATTGTAGTTGCAGTTATGTCAACTTCAATAACTTGAAGTGTGTAATTGACCAATAATTATTGGTCAATTATAATTATAATCAATTACAATTACTTATAATTGAAGTTTGTCCAAATAAAATTACTAGTAATTGAAATTTACCAGTTACAATTACTTGTACTAGTAATTTAGGTACAATTTTTAATTAAAATTACATGTAATTATAAAGGCATATGCACAATATAGGTAATTGTAATTGAGAAAATTTCAGTTATAAGTAATTGTAATTGAAAAAGTTTCCATAACAATTATTTTGTAGTGAAGTTCGTTTATTATTATTATTTTAAACTGATATTTATAATACTTTGTTATTTGTTTAATATGTTTAATCAAGTAATATTTTAAAATGAAATTTAAAAAATATTGATTTTTAAATTGTAATTGGATTACAAATTTTATAAAATAAAAAAACATTTGCTTAACAAAATCAATATAAAATTTTAACTAAAATTTTTAATGTAATTGAAAATGTAATCATTACCCCACTAAATAGGATGAAAACAGCTCTTTTTTTTTTTCTTATGTGTTTAAATAAAAATTCATCCCTATTTTATGAGACTTGCTTGTTTATTTAATCATTTCAAAAATGAAGAAAGCCATACGAATGTCAAATTATTATTTGTGTGCACTGAGATCGCGAAATTAAAAGAATTGTTTCTTCTATTTACTTCATTAAAATAAATCTTTAAATAAATAAATTTTCGGTGACATCCTAATGAATATAATAAATTATATGGTTATTTAATAGTTTTAATATATATTATTGATTGATACTCATATGTGTAGTTTATGCGGGTTGTGTGCATTCACATTCAAATTATAAGTATTATGGTAATAAGTAATTAGTGTACTTATCAAATGTTTAAGTATATATCAATGAATGAATGAATGTACATATCTAAAGAAAAACAAACATATTGTAACACACTAACACACAATTTGTATTCAAATACAAAAAGAAGTAAAGGCACGCACTGTTAACGTCAAGTATGTGCAATAATTTACAAAATCAAGTTGCTCGCTTAAGTCTTTTGTTTTATTATGTTGTACGTACTTCATTTTACTCACACTTATTTAGTTTTTATTATTTTTATTAAGTTTTCGTGTTTGTACATGAATCTATGTATATCAATATATCGATTCGCGTTATTTAATACGTATATTGATTATTGTTAAATGGTAAATGTATGATTGAATGTTTATATTTATTGTGCTGTTATGCGGTAATACACTCATACACATGCGATGATAATACAATTCGAAACTATTGAATTATATGTTAGTGTACAGACATTGACATGGGTGTCTGACCTGTGGGTGTCTGCCTGTTTAACGTGAATTTTTGTTGTTGTTTTTGATTTTCGGATATTCATTATTTAGCCTGCGGTGAATTATAAATAGTTTTTTGTTATTTTTAACTTTTTGTATAGTGTTTTTTTAAGGCAACAAAATACTCTAAGCAATAAGCTAAAAAGTGAAATGCCAAGAAATAAAAATAAAAAAAATTACTATGAGAAATAAAATGAGCTACAAACACATATCCATAAGTGTAATCATTTATCCAGCCATTCCATTCAATCATCCATCCCAAAGTACCTTCAAAAATTAATTACATACACACATTATACATGTGAGTCTTAGCAAAGATTTTCGAGTATAAAAACAAATGCAGTTGCGGATTCAATTATTATTCAAATCACGTACCTCAAAGTGTTAGGACAAAGACTTTGGTGAATAATTATTTAACTTACTTCTTCGTATTTTGGTTAAAATAAATCGTTTTTTGTGCAAAAATGGCCTTCAAGGTGAGTGTGTGTTTGTATTCGTGTTTAAGTTACATCTTTTTGTTTCCCTACAATTTACGGTAAATTGGTTTAATACAATTTGCCTTCAACTTAAAAAATAAGTAACACTAATTGAAAATTTGCATTGTTGTTAATTTAAAATCAGTATAGTTTTTGCACATGGCAACAAATAACGAAGTAAATACCTTTTGTATTGATGATATTGGCCTAATTTAAAAATGCAATTCATGGATTACTGTGCCAAACAAAGAAGCAAAAAAAAGTGATTGCAATTTTTTAATAAAAATCAATACAGTTTAGTTTTTGTGGTTTTTTATTATTGAAAACATTAATGCAATTTACAGTCAAAATAATGAAAAAAAATGAAAAAATCACTTATATCAAGGACTCTTAGCCTTAAATTTTAAATATCCATGCAGGGTCAAACTTTTACCTATTACAATTTTGGTTCTGAAAAACAAACTAATATGCATAAATTAACAAGACTTAATGAAGACAATTAATTAATTTACTTTATTTTTTTAACAGTTCATCGCTATCTTGGCTCTAGTGGCAGCTGTTAATGCTGGTGTTATCCAAGTGCCACAACATGTCACTTTAGAACACCAACCCACCGTTTATCACCATGCTGCTCCCCAAGAACACCATGTTGTTTTACAAAAGACTCACCACGCTGCCCATGAAGAATATCCTGACGATCCTCATCCTAAATATAACTTTGCCTATGAAGTTCAAGATGCTGTCTCAGGTGATTCTAAGAGCCAAACCGAATCACGTGATGGAGATGTTGTACATGGCGAATACTCTTTAACTGATGCTGATGGTTTCCGTCGTACTGTCAAATACACTGCCGATGATGTCAATGGTTTTAATGCTGTTGTACACCGTGAACCTATTAATGGCCACAAAGTAGTCACCACTGCTCATGTAGCTCCCGTACATGTTACTCCCGTGCACACTACTCAATACCATCATGAACCTGCATCTTATGCTGCTCCTGTCAATCATCATGCCCATCCTGAGCAAACTGCCCACCAAACATACATCACTTATGAAGTCCCCCAACACGAATCACACGAATCCCAATATCAACATTAAGAAAATACTCTGAACGGCCATTTTTTGCCCGTTGCATTTTGATCATTTTTATTGTTTTCATTTTTCTATTCATTTTGTTATTTAGTATTTTTTTTAATTGTTTTATATCTTAAATAGAACATTTGTACTATTAGTGTTAATTAGTGAATAAATATTTTAGCATTTAACAGTAAATAAAATTTTATTTTAAATCAAATTATTAATTGATTACATAATCATTAGAATGGACCATGTATATAATAAGTAAGTATTACCTCTTCATGAAATTTGGATAGCAGGATGTAAAACATTGTTAATGAAATGTCGTTTTAAAACAACAGTTTCAAAACTCCAATTTCAACCGTATCGAAATTTTATTTATATTTTGGTAAATTTGTATGAAACAATTTAGTCTCCATGGATATCGAAATCGATGTGTTTTGGTTACGCCTCTCAAAATTGATCTTGATTTGTTTTATAAAGATTTCCTAAATATTGTCTGTTAACAATGCACACAGCGTCAAAAGAACCATTTTCTTGCCAATAGAATCAAACCAAATATAGGGTATTCGGGATCACTAAATTAAATCGTGAATGTCATGTTTTTACGAGAAGTTGAACTAATTAATTCGTACATTGAATTATTTACTGTGTTATTAACTAAAAATTGAAACTTAAAAATACTTTGTATTTTACCATTTATTATTAAGACCTTTTCATACCAGAATTGGCCAATTGGATATTACCAAGGAGTGATACGTCCTCTTAAATAAACCTATTTTTATTTTAAAGCTTTTGCGCTTTCTTTCATTCTTTTTGGCCAAAAACTAAAAATTAGGGTTTATTTACATATTCCAACATAGATGCTTCTCAGGAACTAGGACTATTTAGATTTATTGAAAATTTTGTTTTATGCTGATCATAAATAAATATTGATCTGATCAAAAAAAATTATCCCAGGTGACCAACTTTTAGAGTCCACTGGCCCTAACGTATCCTAACAACTTTATATCAACTGTAAAACAGCTTCGACTGTATGAAATTTAATTACAAATATTTAATAGTTCACGAGATATCGAATGATAATGCAAATTATATTATATTAGAAACATATTTATCAGAAAACAAAAAAGAACATTGTTTACTCCCTAGGCAAATTAGTCAAAAAAATAAGAAATCTGGGGAATTTAAGATATCTAAATGAAAATTGACACATAGCTTCCCCTTAGCATAATTAGTAAGGATTAAAAGTCACCGAAAATATCTTGCGCGCTAAGCGTGATCTTGGAGGTCAAAGGTTACCAAAATTAGTTTTTGCCCAATATCTTGCTTAATATGCGTCGGACGCATTTTAAAGTTATTATAATTTCTATAGAGAATTGAATTTTCTACATTTTGGTTGAAGAATATTTTTGCGTATCATTAGTTATTTTCGAGCTAGAGTGCATTATTTTTCCATTGCACGAATATTTTCAAATCTTAATATAGATTGTACTAATAACAAATTAGTCATAATTTTTACGTCACTCATAAGTAGTTAATATATGCTTATACATTGTTACACGTTTTATCTCAAATTCGCTCTATGACCCATACTGCAATGTCTGTCTATCCATAATTTCAGATAGTATCACAGGTCATATATGATAAGAATTAGAAAAAAATTGGTGGTCACAATCCACATATTTAGAGTAATATTTCCACCAAATTTTATTAAAATCAAACTTCATCTTTAAATATTTTGTAACAATTTTTGAATTTTCAAAATAGTAAAAACACTGTGGTTTTCAATAACATTATGCGAAAATATTCGAAATGTAGGAAATTCAATTCTCTATAGAAATTATAATAACATCAAAACGCATAATAAGATATATATTCGCTAAAAATATATTTTTGTAATCTTTGACCTCCAATATCTCACTTAAATCTTATTCTTAAGTTAAAAAATAATTTTTTGATAGATATCCCACTCGCATTCCATTAGGGAACTATAAAGCCCTGAAAGTAATTTGTCTAAGCTTTCGTTTGAGAAAAAAAGGGAGTTTTGTGAAAAAAAATTTTGTTAACTTTGAAGAAATAGCTATCTGAACTCCTTTGGACAATTTTTGCTAGGACCAATATGTGAAAAGTTACACTTATTTGAATAAAACTCTCTATGATTAAAATGTTAAAATTTGACCCCATCTAAGTCCGCCAGTTCTGGACCTATAGCGGTGAAAATATGTGTCTGGTCTACTATCCAATAGTACTAACCTTGGTGCAAATTTCATCAAAATCGGAAGACATCGATTTCTAAAGTTGGGTCACTACACGAAATGACCCATATCTTTGTATATGTACATAAGCAGGCAAACCAAAAATTTGCACACTAAAAAAATATAGTCTTACACTCTTATTCACAAACAAAATTTGTATTTTATAAAAAGTTTATAAATTAGATTTTGTATGGAAATTTTGTTTTATAAACCTTTTATAAAATAAAAATGTTGTTTGTGAATAAGGGGGTTAAAATTTAAAAAAATAAAAGTTTTAATTATTCTATAACATTGAAAAGCTCTAAAAGACTGAACTTGTAATGAAATAATCAATGTGGGCTTTTTTTAAGCATTGAATTTATTTTGGATTTATTTTATTTCAAGAAAAAAATTACCTTTGGAGACTCAAATTTAGTTTTCAATATCTGAAAATACACTGTATAAGTTAATTTAAGGTTAACGAAAAATTAATCTTAGTGCTAAATGGCGATTCTGCAGCTAAAAGAAGTAAATACAATTTGGATTTATTAAATAAAAAAAAATAGTTGGATTTAGCTAATTTCAATATGATAATGCTTAGTATTCATAGAACAAAACCAAAATAATTTTCAAATAAATAAATTTGTTTCATTTTGCTATTCGCCAATAGATGGCAAATATTTTTTAAAATGTGTAAAAATAGAAAAATAAAAAAAATTTCTGTAACTTAAATGGTGCAAATAACAATTATTGCAACAAATTGTTTGGAAAAATTATAATTTTAATATTAAATTTTGAAATAACTCCATCTGTTGGCCGCTTCTGACACTATGATTTGAAATTTATTTAACCTCTATTAAAATCTTTTGCCTTATCCACCTGGCATATAGTGCAATAACTAAAATTTGGATTTAATAAATCTAATTGTTTAAAAAATGCTGCTAATATTTCATATCATATATGATCCTACAAGTTTTCTTTTTAATAATTGATCATATCATATTTTGAAGAATTAGTTTAATAGGATTCCCTTTTACGTTCATTTGGTCCACAAAAAAACAAATTTGAAACGACAAAGTTTGACACCTTTCTTCGAACTGTATCTATTCATTGCTGTTATTTTAATCGGTGTTGTCATAGAATCCAATAATTATCGTTACTATTTTTTAAACGACTAAAATGGAATGGTCTCATGATATCAAAAGTTATCGCTTTTATGTCAGATTTAGAAATTAATACTTCATCGTATAAAAAACTATAACTATTTTCTTTTTTTTTCAAAATTGTAAAACAGGTAGTAAAATTAAAAATAAATTGAATAACATTTTTAAAAATAATGTTTTGAAAAGAGAATTTTTAAAATATTGAAATATGAAAAATAAACCACAAAACATGAAAATAATAAATATGGCTTAAATATGCTAAAAAGTTATATAATGCAAAATTATACCCTTATATGTAAAATATGCAAAAATATGTGCTAACAAATCGATGCCAAATTGCTTTAATTGGTCTGAAATGTGTAAATATCGTATACATTAGTCCATACGACGCACCATTAAAAAAATTCTATATACATATGAGCATATACTTTTCATTTTACGAAATTATACTTTCATACATAACTTAACTATAAGTAATGTATGAAATGTTTCTACTATGTACATATATCTTTTAATCTAAAACGTTAACCGATATATAAAATTTAATTCATAAGAAATTTAATTTGAATTCATTCATACAACATTTGGCGCCAAACATTTCCAAACATACATCCATTTACACATTTGTTTCTCTCAAAATTCCCAAATTTCATGGCTAAGAAAATTAAAAAATGTTTAAGTATATGTATGTATATAAACGTAGAAATAAAAAATATTATTTAATTAATTAAGCGTTGATAATAGGATTTTATTAATGCCACCCGAAGCTGGTTGTGTTGATATTTTTAAAACACTAACAAATAATATTGTCAAAATTAAAAAAAAATATATAATTATTGTCAATTTTTGCTTCTTGTTAAAGCAACAATTATAGTAAGAAATTAAAAAAGAATTGTAACACTTCGAATCTACAGGTATAAAAACTTGTGATTTTTTCCAACAAATTGTAGTTCAATTAAAGTTTGATTCAATCAAACAACATTTGTAGTCACCCAAATATAACTAATCAAAATGGCTTTCAAGGTAAGGAATTTTAAGAAGTTTCATAAAGGACATTAATAAACTTTTTGTTAATACTTAATTTTAGTTCATCGCTGTATTTGCTTTGCTCGCTGTTGCCAATGCTGGCATCATTCCAACTGCTCAAGTCTATCACGCTGGCCCTGCTACAGTTGTCAAAACTGTTGCTCCAGTAGCTCATTATTCTGCACAACCTGTTTTAGCTAAAGCTGATGACGAATACGATCCTCATCCACAATACAAATTTGCCTACGATGTCCAAGATGCCGTTTCTGGTGACTCCAAGAGCCAAGTTGAAGAACGTGATGGTGATGTTGTTCGTGGTGAATACTCCTTGATTGATTCCGATGGCTTCAAACGCACTGTTCAATACACCGCTGATCCAGTTAACGGTTTCAATGCCGTCGTCAACCGTGAACCTTTAGCTGTTAAAGCTGTAGTTGCCCCTGCTGTTGTCAAAAAAGTTGCTCCAGTTACTCATTATGCTGCCCCTGCTACTGTTGTTAAAACTCTTGCTCCCGTAGCTCATTATGCTGCCCCAACTGTAGTCAAGACCGTTGCTCCCGTAGCACACTATGCTGCTCCAGCCACTTACATTGCACACCACTGATAGCCATTTTAAAAAGAATTACGCAAATTATTTAATTCATAAGTTGTTGACTATAAATAAAGAAATTAAAATCTGGAAAAAAAAAATCTTATTAATACAGTTGTTGCACAGACAACTATACATACATACATTCATACATAAAAATGCATTTTACATAAAATTTAAAAAATTTTATGAACCAAAAATCATATTAATCCTTGTAAAAAATAACGAAATTCATATAACCAAAATTAGGCACTATCACTACGTGATATATAGTAGTATTCTAATAACGAAAACCTTTTTCTCGAGTCATTTTGGTGCAAAAATCTTCCGTGGCAAATCGATTTCCTAAAACCATTCACAAACAAATTTACTTGAATTTTTAATCGTATAATCTCATGTTTGGGTAGAAATTTGGAAAAGGGATAAACAAAAACCGCCGTCCCTATCCTTTCATTTTCTCCGTGTAAATGTTGTGGATTTATGCCAAGAATTTCCGATTTTGATTAAAAAATCTAAAATTTTGTTTAGGGTAAATATCAAACACTTTAAAGCATTTGCGCGGAAACTTTTTTAACACTCGGGAAAAAGTCATTTATACATTACAAGTAATAGTAATTGAAAAAGCTTCCATTACAATTAGAAGTAATTGTAATGGGTTATTGATCAATTGTACATTAAAAGTAATTGAAATCGACCATGTAATGAATTACTTTGTGTAATCATTACCTCCCAAGCCTGGTATTGGGCTATAAAATTTGACAAACCCAACTTTTATAAGTTCAAAACTCTCCCTATTGTTCACTATTGACATTCCCCCATTCTTACAAAAATTCACTGTTTTAAAATTGTTTTAAAACTACTATGGTATTGATATAAAATTCGCTGGAAATAATTTGTAGCGCCGAATCTCAAAAAGTTAGTTTAATTTTTAAGAACAACGATAAATATTAGATTTTTTGTATCTGTTTTATTAAAAATGTAATGTTACGAATTTACACACATTTGACAGAAAACCTAAATTTGTGAAGAGATGCTGGTTTGAAACTTTTACTTCGTATTTTACAACAATTTATGTCCATTAGATTAAAATCGGTAGAAGAAGCGCTTATTATTTTAATACCATCTGACTTTAATTCGTTTAGTACGGCGAACTTCGCCTAGGACCCTATCGGGACTATTGTGCGCTCTTTAAGCTGGGTTTTTGGCGGTAATCGAAGCCACTCACAGTCTACTTAGAACACTGCCAACTAACCCTCGGATTAACCCTATGGGGACTTTAAATCGGCATAAAATGTTTATAGGGATTTAGGTTCATATATTTATTATGGAACAATTTTTGAAGAAACAAAAAAAGTCCAATTATTTACTCAATTTCACACTTTTCTATCGATTTCCGGCACGTGTTATCGTTATCCGATTTGACTAAAATTTAACACCAGTAAGTTTTAAACACTAACAAGTCAGAGTGCTATATTCGGCTATGCCGAATCCTGTAAGCTACTTTTTATGAAAATATTACTAGATACGTATTTAATAAATTGTGAAAGTTTAAATTGTGCTTCCGTGAGGAGGGTGCTATCATTTAGAAATCATATATACCTTATATGGTGATATAACAAAATTTCACAGAATGATTTATCGATAAAAAACACACTGTGTCCGATTTTATCCGTGTATAGTTATAATTGAATGAAATATATTGGAAAAAGTGACTTATGGAAAAAAAAATTTCCTATTCCCATATCTTTATTTATCAATGAAATGTGCGATTTTCAGAAGTGGATCTTATATGACAGATATGAACAATTATAGACCGATCCGTAAAACATATTTTTATAGCCTATTTATACACTACACCACTATAAAGTATACCAATAGGCTTAGAATCATTTTCCGAGTCAATTAGGGCTTGTAAAGCTTGTAATCAAACTTCAGGTCTCAATTTTGAAGATAATTCAATGAAATTTGGCACATCATCTTCAATGGTACGGGAGACGAAGCCTATTGAAAATGATTAACATTGGTTCATTATTTCACCTAACCCCCTTACAACTGAACCCGACGAATAGGGCTTTTAAGTTCATAATTATGTTCAATATGCTCGTATCTCGACAAAAAGCTGCAAAACCAAGTTCTATACTAGCCTCGATTACTCTCATGAATTTTATAATTATAGGGTCTCATTTGACCATAGCCCCTATACAAAATCCCCTTCAAAATTTGACTTAAATGTCCACAATTTTATTTATTTCATATCTACTATAAACACATTCATGACTAATATTATACCGATATCTTCATTCAGTTATGAAATATGTGCATTTACGTCGGAAATGGGCCTTATATGGGATCTATGCCCAATTATGGACGGATCCAAAATACATTTTGAAGAGTGATATATGTATACACAATACATATTTATGTTTTTTCAATATCTTTATTTCTAAATTAGTTATGTGCATTTAAGTAATTTTCTGAAGTTGACCTTGAATGAGAGCTGTGACCAATTATGGGCCGAGCGAGAAAAAATTTCGCAGGGTGTTTTATATCTACTTTAAACACATTGATGATGAATTTTATACCTATAATTTGATTCAGTTATGTAATATGTGCGATTAGGTGGTTATCGGAAATGGGCCTTATATGGGAGCTATGCCCAATTATGGACCAATCCGAAAAATATTTCGCAGAGTGATATATGTATACACAAAACCTATTTATGTTGAATATTATTCCAATATATTTATTTCTTAATTAGTTATTTGTATTTAAGTGTTTTTCGAAAGTGGACCATATATGGGAGCTGTAACCAATAATCGACCTATACAGATCTACGTTGGTAATATAATTTCTGTTCTTATTATATACATACATGTGTGCAAAATTTCGTGGTCATACCGATATTTTTGCCGAAGTTATTAACGAGAATATGTATCTTTGTATGGGGGCTATGAGACATTTTGAATCGATTGTTTTGAGTTTGAACATTTTTGTTCCCTGGGTAAAGAAAATAAGGTGTGACAAAATTCATTCCAATATCTTTAGTAGTTTCTGAGAAAACTACTCAAGAATTAGGAAAAAAACTTATTTTTTTTCGAGGTAGTCTGAAATTTTTACTCATAACTTTTTACGTTGTGTACCGATTTGGCTGATTTTCAATACCAAACTGCTTAGAACAATAGTGAATATTTTCAGAGAATTTGGCTGATTTATTTTGCTTAGTTTTAACGTGAGAGTGTTTGAGGCAGACAGACAGACAGACAGACATACAGACGGACACAGCTAAATCGACTCAGAATTTCATAAGGATCCAGAATATATATACTTTGTTGGGTCTCAGATGAATATTTCTTGGTGTTACACACGGAATGACAAATTTATATATACCCTCTATCACCACTGATGGTGGTGGAGGGTATAACAAAATAAGACCCATCTGAGCAAAATCGATATATTTTTGACAACTCTAATGTACAGACATAGATTAGTAAACTTAAGGGTGGGTAAAAAACTAATAATATATATTTTTTCAAACATTTTTTTCTGTATAATAAATAAACGACTTTAAACAAAATAATTTTGTTTATAAAAACACAACCTCATATTTTAATTACGGATGTATAACTTAAACACCAATAATTCTAAGAATTCAATGAGAATTAATGTCTAGTACTTTTAATACGCTAATAATTAAATATAGTCTAATTAGATTGAATGTCAAATACTTTAACATGGCTTAAAACCGGATTGAGATAGGAGAAACAATTTTTCGTAAAAAGTGGACACAAAGAATTGTAACGAATTTTGGTCAGTGTTACACTTAAATGACTCAACAGTTTATTTTCTTCATGGTCTTCCAATGTCAACCCTTTCGCTTCAAATTCATATACAAGCTAATCGACTGAGTGATTTTAAGATTTTAAGTAGCTCTACATTCATACGTCACAACAATTTATTCATTCATAAAAATTGGTGTAAATTTGACAAAAGTAACAATTTTGTGATTTGTTTGTATTCCCAACACTTTACAACAATACTCTTTGCGATAACAGGTGAATACTTTATCTGTACCTACATGCACACATACATTTATATTGTACATACTATATGCATACGAGTGCTTCTATCCGTGACATGAAGACAAGACATTTTTATTAATTCGTATAAAAAGCTGTTGATGGTACAACTTCTTATCACAAGTTATTTTGCACTCAATTCAATCAGTTACATTTTCAAGTGTCACTAAATCAACTTTATCGAAATGGCATTCAAGGTATGAGAAAATCCACAAAACATCACTACAAAAAGGATTTATTTATAGAGATTATACTAATGATAAAGATTTTCATGATCACGACTTTAAACAAACAGAAACAAAATGATAAATAAGTCAATACTAGTATGAGATAATGAAACCCATTGGATTATATTAATCTTTACTAATTTATGTATTTGCAGTTTGTTGCTGTCTTTGCTTTGCTCGCTGTCGCCAATGCTGGTTTCCTTCCAGCTGCTCAAGTTTACCATGCTGCTCCTGCCGCTGTTGTCAAAACTGTCGCTCCCGTAGCTCACTATGCTGCTCAACCTGTTTTGGCCAAGGCTGTTGAAGAATACGATCCTCATCCTCAGTACAAATACGGATACAATGTACAAGACAACCTTTCTGGTGACTCCAAACACCAAATTGAAGAACGTGATGGTGATGTAGTACGTGGTGAATACTCTTTGATCGATGCTGATGGTTACAAACGTACCGTTCAGTACACTGCCGATCCCATCAACGGTTTCAATGCTGTTGTCAACCGTGAACCTCTTGTCAAAGCTGTAGTTGCTCCCGCTGTTGTTAAGTCCGTTGCCCCAGTTGCTGCTTATGCTGCTGCCCCAGCTGTAGTCAAGACTGTTGCTCCTGCTTACACCACTTATGCTGCTCCAGCTGTTGTCAAGACTGTTGCTCCAGTTGCCCATTATGCTGCTGCCCCTGCTTACACCACTTATGCTGCCCCAGCTGTTGTCAAGACTGTAGCTCCTGCTTATACCACCTATGCCGCTCCTGCCACTTATGTTGCCCATCACTAAAATGCTCATTTCGTTAACCCATTGTGACCATTACTGATTATTTATATTGTTGTTGATTAAATAAATTATTTAAAATTATATTCACACCTATATATTCTAATTGCATATGAAGGTTTGGAAAAACTGAATCAGATGTTGGTTTTCCTTCATCGCCTACATTTTTCTCGGAATAGTGTATTGAATGTTTAGTTTATAAACATTTATTTACATTTAAGGGTTAATTACGCTTAAGGCTTAAGCCTTCCCTTGCAACACTAATCTTGGCGGTGCATTTGCTGAAGAAGTACTTCGAGAACGCGTCTATGTATTTGATCACCCTGCATCGGCGATATATCTCATCGGAGTCAAAACGATGTGCTAGCCTCATTGGCTAGTAGGTGTTCCATAACTATCTCGGTCAGTTTAGATCCCACCGCACTCCGTTCTGTTACTACAGGGTTAATGACCTCGTGTTTGACATTCACCAGTGCCATTAGTAGGTGATCCTTCACCATTTCATTGAATGGTCACCTGGCTGTAATTGCGGATACTGGAGGCCCTGGTGTGGTTTTGCTATCTGCAACCCTCCTCCTTTTTTACGGCTCACCTGCCTTTGTCTAAGATCGGTTCCCTTTGGATATTTCATCTGCAGCTGCTGCCTGAGACGTGCTGGGTACGGTTTCCATAAACTTCTGGTACTCGTCTACCACAGCTTTATACTTAACGCGATCTTCTTCGTCGCGTTGAAGGGGGTGCTGTTTGCAGCACTCTTGGCAATCTTGTAAGGAACGAATATTGCCTTGGCATATCTTGATTTATGTTTGTCTTCTTCCTTCTTTCTCGGTCTTTTCCAATTGGTCGCCTCAGATCAGATTGGAGAGGTGTTTTTGTAAAGTTTTTAGATGGTAGTAGAGTGCTGTGACAGTCGCTCGCACTACCTGACTTAATGACCAAGGTCTCTTGGATTGTGGCCAGAAGGTCATCTTTTGATAATAAGCCTTTATCATTGGTTTTGCGTTGTCGTTGTTGTTGTTTTTTTGCGTATTATTCTCTAAATTTTGGTCCCACGAGTGTGCGCATAAGGGGTAGGACTATATATGATGTGACGGTGTACATGGATTAGACTAGGCATTACAACAAGTGACATTGAATCTTTCTTCTTTCTGAGGGTATGCTCAGGGTTTACTATGTTTTCTATGTAAGGAAGAACTTTTCATTATCTTATTTGATGGATTCATATTACCGATTATGCCTCTAGGTGCTGTTGCCAAATCAACAGAGACAATTCCATTTGCGTGGTTGTAAACCGCATGAAAAATGTTTGTTGGTAAAAACAAAAACCTTATATAGTATTCAAGCCCAATTTCGTATAGCTGTGTTGAAAATTTGGCAACTAAAAGTTACAGCTGTAGAGACACAAATCTCAAATGATGCGTATTTATGTAATGAACACGTAAAAAATACTTTTTTTTAAAGGGGGCCAAGATATATTAATTATAAGGTAGTGTTATCAGAACAGCTGATCGTTTTTTGCTATTATGTTCATTTTTCGCCGTAGTGTATAATTAATGTCAAACTTTGTTTACATTTTGTAAATGTCAAACTTTGTTTTCATTTTGTTAATGTCAAACTGGTTTCATTTTGTATATGTGAATTTTGTGATTAAAGTGAAATTGTGTGAATAGGGTATATTTTTGTGTTTTTAATTTTTAAAAGTTTAAACATCAAAATAAATTATAAACAGATTCAAATTTATAAACATTTTTTGTTTAATATAAATTCGCTTTGATTTATTGTCAGCTGTTTTAGAAATTTTTCCCTTACAGCCAATTCGCTTTCAAGTGCAGGCACAATGTCAAACTACATGTAAAAAAAATATAACTAATTCGCTTGGTATTCTGAATTCGCCGATGACACTACCTTATAAAATTAATATACCTTGAAGGGGGCTTACCACCGATCAGTGTTGCCAGGAGCTTCAGAAATAAAAGGCTTAGTCGGACATTAAAAAAGGCCGGAAAAGGCTATAAGGCTTAAAAAATAAGACAAAATTTGTATAGTTTAAAAATCTGTATTGAAACAAGTGAAAAATAATAGTCGTGAATTCCCGAACAATGACTTTCAAAAGTCCTAGAATGGACGCAAGATCTAAAACGATCAATTATCACAGAATTTAAGAAAATGTTTCTATTTATACTATAAATTACTTCAGTGGGGAGGGTAAAAAATATTATAAAGTCACCTTAAAGTATTAATACTTTAAAGTATTCTATCTGTACGGCTGACTGGCTTTATGGCCATGTTAAGTTTGCGAAACAGGTCGCAATGTTCAAGATAATTTGATGAAATTTCTCATATACGCCAAGTTTCAATAGGACGAAGCCTATGGAAAAGGTTAATATCGATATATGATTTCACCTAGACCCCATACAATTAACCCCCTGTTAATTATACCTGTATCTCGATTAGATTTTTAATAGCACTGATGAGCCTTCCATATTTCGTAATGGTCGGATCTCATTTGACCCTAACCCTCATACAAAGCCCATTCCGAAAATTACTAGAATATCAATTCACTTATAAACAATAATATCGCGACAAAATTCAGCAAACTTTATAGAGATTGGTCCATATTTGCCCCTAGACCCCATATAAAGGTTCTCTTTAAAAAAATAGTTTTTCGTCAATAAATTGTTTAAATGTTTTGGAATAAAAAAAAAAAAAGAATTTACATAAAAGCTTTATTAAATTATAGTTATAAATGCTTTAAATTATCATACTTTAGGTCAAGCACGACTATTCGTTCTTGTAGTACTTATTTCTGTTATAAAACAGCATATGAACCGAACTTGTTCTTGTTATCTTCAAATTTACTATATATAGTGTTCCAATAAATGGACAGTCCAATTCCCAAAAAATATAGTTTTTTTTTTGGATTGGTCTTATTTTTTGATAAGAATGTAAAATTAATTTGTGTAAAATTGTAGCTCATTTTATTTTTATTTTATCTTATTTTTTGATAAGAATGTAAAATTAATTTGTGTAAAATTGTAGCTCATCTGACAACAGAAACATCTGCCGGAAATCAGTTAAAAGTTGTAAAACAGATAAAGTTCATAACAATTACTCTAATTAGTTATAATAAAAATCCAATATCCCAAATAAATAACCCATTTGTTACAAAAACTTTAAAGTTTTTAAATATAAAAGTTTTTGTAAATGTACTCATTATAAATTCTCAAATATACATATAATGAAAATTCTAAAATATTTGCCTTTTTAATGCTAAATAAGAAATCGGAAAAAAGACTGCAAAAAGCCAGAAGCTAAAGCATACATTTTGAGTATTGAGGCTAACTGATAAATAAAAATGCTAAATTTAGCCTTAACAAGTGAGAGTGTTATATTAGGCTGTAACGAATCTCATATACCCTCCATCAAACCGTATGCCGTTACAGGAATGCTCCCCTATAAATATCAGGGTGATATTTGGAATATGGCTTAAGTTAATTATGGACCGAGCTCTTTTGAACTAAAAAATATTAATTTTTATACCCTCCACCACCATCAGTGGTGATAGAGGGTATATATAACTTTGTCATTCCGTGTGTAACACCAAGAAATATTCATCTGAGACCCAACAAAGTATATATATTCTGGGTCCTTATGAAATTCTGAGTTGATTTAGCTATGTCCGTCTGTCCGTCCGTCCGTCCGTCTGTCTGTCTGTCTGTGTAAAACACGCTCACGTTAAAACGAAGCAATATAATTTAACCAAATTCACCCAAAATATTCATTATTATCCGGTACAGTTTGGTATTGAAAATGAGCAAAATCGGTTCACATCGGCAAAAGTTATGATAAATTTAAAACAACCTCGAAAAAAATAAGCATTTTTTACACATTCTAATGTAATTTTCTCCAAAACTATGCAAGATAATTCCATGAAAATCACCATACATTCGTTTCTACACAAGATCTTGATCCGTGCAGAAAATTTCCAGAATCGGTCCACAATTTTATATACCTCCTATACAAAAGTACATATTCCCGGAAAATGGGTTTTTCGTTAATAACTTCCATCACAATATCGATATCTTCACAAAATTTTACAAATTAAAATCTTATGTCAATAGAATTCTTTCAGAGAAAAATTTTCTGGATCGGTCCATAATTGGACATAGCTCCCATACAAGGTCCCCTCCCGAAAATCACTTAAACGCGCATAACTCATTACTAAATTAAGATATCCATATATTCACAGAAATATTACTGTGAAAAATTTTTCCGATTGGTTCAAAATTAGTCATAGCTCCCATACAAGGTCCCCTCCCGAAAATCACTTAAACGCGCATAACTCATTACTAAATTAAGATATCCATATAAAATTTGGTATAAGTATTGCCCATATGCATAGAAATATTACTGTGAAAGTTTTTTCCGATCGGTCCATAATTGGTCATAGCTCCCATACAAGGTCCCCTCCCGAAAATCACTTAAACGCTCATAACTCATTACTAAATTAAGAGATCCATATAAAATTTGGTATAAGTATTGCCCATATGCACAGAAATACTACTGTGAAAGTTTTTTCCGATCGGTCCATAATTGGTCATAGCTCCCATACAAGGTCCCCTCCCGAAAATCACTTAAACGCGCATAACTCATTACTAAATCAAGATATCCATACAAAATTTGGTATAAGTATTGCCCATATGCATAGAAATATTACTGTGAAAGTTTTTTCCGATCGGTCCATAATTGGTCATAGCTCCCATACAAGGTCACCTCCCGAAAATCACTTAAACGCTCATAACACTTTACTAAATTAAGATATCCATATAAAATTTGGTATAAGTATTGCCCATATGCATAGAAATATTACTGTGAAAGTTTTTTCCGATCGCTCCAAAATTGGTCATAGCTCCCATACAAGGTCCCATCCCGAAAATCACTTAAACGCGCATAACTCATTACTAAATTAAGATATCCATACAAAATTTGGTATAAGTATTGCCCATATGCATAGAAATATTACTGTGAAAGTTTTTTCCGATCGGTCCATAATTGGTCATAGCTCCCATACAAGGTCCCCTCCCGAAAATCACTTAAACGCGCATAACTCATTACTACATTAGGATATCCATATAAATTTGGTACAAGTATTGCACATATGAGCGGAAATATTACTGTGAAATTTTTTTCCGATCGGTCCATAATTGGTCATAGCTCCCATACAAGGTCCCCTCCCGAAAATCACTTAAACGCTCATAACTCATTACTAACTATTAAGTTTGGCAGAAGTATTGCTCATATACAGAGAAATATTACTGTGAAATTGTTTTCCTATCGGTCCAAATTGATCAAAGCTGCTATACAAGGTGCCTTTCAGAAAACACTTCAAGGCACATAACTCATTAGGAAATAGTGATACCCATAAAATATTTGGCATTAATACTATTTTTGTACACATAAATGTTATTTCAACATTTTTTCACGATTAGTCCAACCTTGGTCATAGCTCCCATACAAGGTTCCCTCCCGAAAATCACTTAAACGCACATAATTCATTACCAAATATTGATATCATACATTTAGCAAAATTATTGCCCTTATATACATAAATTACACTATAAAATTGTTTTACGATCAGTCCATATTTGGTCGTAGCTCTCATACTAGGTCCCCTCCAGAAAATCACTTAAATGCACAATATTCATTACCAAATAATGATATAGTTACAGAATTTTGAAATTTTGTTTTTATATATAATTCGTCATAGCTCTCATACAAGGTCCTTTTACGAAAATCTCTTAAACGCACATTACTCATTACCAAATAAAGCTATTGATACAAAATTTGCCACAAATATTAGTTTTGTATACAAAAATTCTATTTCAAGATTTCTCACGTTCCCTTCCGAAAATCACTTAAACACACATTACTTATTACTAAATTACGATATAGATATAAAATTTTACTGAAATATAGCTTTTATGTACAGAAATTTAGCTTAAAGAATTTTTTACGATCGGACTATAATTGGTCATATCTAGGTCCTGCCCCTGAAAGCACTTTAACCGTATTTAACTAGTTGCATTAGCAATTTGTGTAGATTATATATGTATTTTGAAAATCCTTTAATTTTCACACACATGCATACATGCAAATTACTAAATATCGCTAAGCGCTATAAAAATATAAAGAAAATTGCGTTTGTAATGTTCAATAAATCTTGGAATTGTAATAGATTTAAGCTGTTTAAATCTTGGGATTTTTCAATTCAAGACATGAGATAACTTATTTCTACAAATATTTGACCAATTAGAAAAGTCTTAATATAAAATTAGCTGGTGGAGGGTATTTAAGATTCGGCTCAGCCGAATTTAGCAATCTAACTTGTTAAAAACAAAGTATTTTTGTTCAATTTTTACAACGTGAGCGTATGAATAATTTTCTGAAGAGGACCTTCATATGCGTCAATTATGAACCGATACTCATAAAATTTTGGCTCGCATAAAACTTATGTGTGTCAAATTTCGTCACTATATTCATATTTTTAAACCACTAATGAGCGTTATAGTCATTTTCAGAGGGGGACCTTATGGAGGTAGGGTCATTTATGAGCCGATCACAAAAAAAATAGGTACAAAAGGTTTTGGCTCGTAAGAAACTTACGTGTATCGCATTTCATCGCTTTACTCGTATTTTTAAGCCAGTAATGAGCGTTAAAGTCATTTTCTGAAGGGGACCTTATATTAGGGGGCTGGGTCATTTATGGGCCGATCGTAAAAAAATTGATAGAGGGGTTTTGCTTTGTATGAAACTTACTTATCCCGAATTATCAATTACTTATCAATTATGGACCTAAAACATAAAAGTTGATAAAGAGATTTTGGCTCGCGAGGAACTTAATTGTGTAAAATTTGATTGCTATACTCGTATTTTTTAGCCAGTAATGAGCATTAAGGTAATTTTCTGAAAGACCTTGTATAGGCGGAAGGGTCAATTATGGTCCGATCCTCACTAAATTTGGTAGAGAGATTTTGGCTCGCATAAAACTTATTTGTGTAGAATTTCGTCTATTTTCGACTATATTCATATTTTTAATCCAGTACTGAGCGTTAAAGTCATTTTCAGAAGGGGACCTTATATGGGGGTAGGGTCATTTATGGGCCGATCCTCAAAAAATGTTGTAGATATGAAACTTTTTTATGTCGAATTTGACATACTTCTAAAGCAGTTATGCCACTTGTATGGGGGCTATCCGAAAAAGTGGACCGATATTACCCATTCTCAATACCAAACAAACCTTAACAATAGATGGAAATTTCAACTGTGTAGCTCCTCCCGTGTGGCCCCTATCGTGATTTCAACAGACATACGGACAGGCGGACAGAAATGGCTAGATCGTCTTAGAATTTAATAAGGACCCAGAATATATATACTTTTATGGGTCTATAACCAATATTTCAATGTGTTACAAACGGAATGACAAAATCAATATACCCCCATCTTTTGAGCTCATTGTGAGTCACATAATTTTGTAGATATTTTTATCGTAACCCCGCAAAAATTATTGGAGTACATAATCCATTAAAGTAATCTAAAAACTACTCGTCTGTATACATTATTGGAGTAGATGATCCGTTAATTAGTAATAAAATAATGTTTTTACGAATATCCCTATAGAGATATCTTTATAGATATTCTATAGAGAATTAAATCATTACTAAACCATTATTATTTCTTCAAGTCACAAAATCAATATTATTTTATTCTTTACGCGAACGTTCAGTAACACTTCAGCATATTTAGCTACAAAGTCCACATAGTATTCATCGAGATCTTTTACAGGTTTTACGTAAAAAACATTTTTTCTGTTATCAAAAATCTCTATTGAAAAAAAGATAAAACTTCAAAAAATTTTCTTAAAATAATATCTTATATTTATTTCATCATTTAAACATAACATTGAAAACAATTAACAAGCTTTGTCAGTCAGAAATGATTCTTTAATAATGGCATTCAATTTAGTGATGAGCAGGTACGGAGTAGGTGGTGTAAGCGGGAGCTACAGTTTTAACAACAGCGGGAGCAGCGTAGTGGGCCACGGGAGCTACGGTCTTCACAACAGCAGCAGGGGCAGCATAGTGAGCCACAGGAGCTACGGTTTTAACAACAGCAGGAGCAGCATAATGAGCTACTGGAGCTACAGTTTTAACAACAGCAGCAGGAGCAGCATAGTGGGCTACGGGAGCAACAGTCTTTACAAGAGGTTCACGGTGGACGACAGCATTGAAACCATTGTGATCATCAGCTGTGTATTGAACGGTACGTTTGAAGCCATCAGCATCGATCAAAGAGTATTCACCGCGAACAACATCACCGTCACGTTCTTCAACTTGGCTCTTAGAATCACCAGACACAGAATCTTCTACATTGTAACCATATTTGTATTGGGGATGAGGATCAAATTCATCATCAGCCTTGGCCAAAACAGGAGTAACGGTCTTAACTACAGCAGCGGGAGCAGAATGATAAACATGAGCAGCTGGGGCGGCATGGTAGACTTGGGCAGCTGGGAGAAGACCAGCATTGGCTACGGCGAGCAAGGCAAAAGCAACAACAAACTGTAACAAAAGCATTAAATTTAATTAAATACAATTTACTATGTTATATGTAATGAATTTCACTCACTTTGAATGCCATTTTAATCAGGTTTAATGAAGTGACTGATCACAAAGTAAATCAAATACTCGTAAGCGTGTCTTGCTTGCTTGAGCTGTAAGCAAAGTTTGATAATTTTTATGCAAACGTTTGCTGCTTTTATTTGATCATGTTTTCTCAGGTCAAAAGGAGATCTTACTAAAGTGAGTGAGATATAAAAACCGTTAAAATACTCTTAAAAAAAGAGTAAAACAGATTTTTCTTCTTTTCAGTTGCTGACGTTGATGAATGTATCTACATGTGTATTGTTAGTTTTAAACGAATATTTAGGTTCAGCATTAGGTTAATGGGTCAAAAATGCGTTGTCAAATGCTATTGTTTATTTATTTACTTTTTAAAATTATTATGTATTCTATTGCTTATAGATGTGATTGAATTTGATTTAATTGTTTACTTACATACATTCGTAAAACTATAGATGCAAATTCTATGAAGAGAAAAATAAATATGCACAATTTGTGGAACATACATACATACATTGGTATAATTCTTTTAATTTCCATATAAAAACTAATAGGCCGTTTCGAAATGGTTTAAGATCAGAATGAATAAAATTATTTTTATCACTGAACATTAGACCGACTCAATCAGTATGGAAAGCAAAACCGTGTTTTTGTTACCCCTCTCAAAATGTACCATGCTTTAAATATTTTAAGTCTAGCTATGGCCGTTCGTAAGCTGGATTATATTTAAAAAAGTTATTTTTGAATTATATTTTTTCATTAATATAAATAAAATTTATGCAAATCCAAATTTTGCACACCACTAGATGCGGTTTGAAAAAACCTTTCAAATGATACCATATGTTGTATATTTTGTTTAAGAAAAATCTGAACAGAACAAAAAATTTTTTAAAATTATGAATTGAACATAAAAAATCGCCATACCATACCAAAACTGTACCATATGTTGTATATTTTGTTTAAGAAAAATCTGAACAGAACAAAAAATTTTTTAAAATTATGAATTGAACATAAAAAATCGCGTCCCCCCAGTTTTCTTGAAAACTGTACATACATACATACATACATACATACATACATACATACATACATACATATACATACATACATACATACATACATACATACATACATACATACATACATACATACAGACATACATACATACATACATACATACATACATACATACATACATACATACATACATACATACATACATACATACATACATACATACATACATACATACATACATACATACATACATACATACATACATACATACATACATACATACATACATACATACATACATACATACATACATACATACATACATACATACATACATACATACATACATACATACATACATACATACATACATACATACATACATACATACATACATACATACATACATACATACATACATACATACATACATACATACTACATACATACATACATACATACATACATACATACATACATACATACATACATACATACATACATACATACATACATACATACATACATACATACATACATACATACATACATACATACATACATACATACATACATACATACATACATACATACATACATACATACATACATACATACATACATACATACATACATACATACATACATACATACATACATACATACATACATACATACATACATACATACATACATACATACATACATACATACATACATACATACATACATGTAATTATTAATGGGTGATTTGTGAGCATTATACTGATTTTTGGTGGAAGGTTCTCAAATGGGAAAATTAATATTTTTCTCGTTTGTGAAATTTTTTCCATTGCCAAATTTTTAAATTTGTATGGAAATTATGTAATTATTTTACTAAAAGTCGATTTTCTTGAGATCTGCTCATTGTCCCACTCAAAATTTTTTTTAATTACTATCCTTATTTTGAAGCTTAACAAAAGTGTTTTTAAACTACAAGATATACGCTTGTATTTATAAAAAAATCTTATTTTGCTTTTAATGCACTCAATAGTTCAAGCACACTTTAGCCTTAAAAACCATTAATAAAATTGTGATATTCATAAACAAATAATAAAGGTATATTAACTATTGTGCTGATTTATGTTTAAGTTGGCAGCACTGTACAATATGGCTGTCATTTTATGTGTTAGTGTTGCGTACAAATAGGATAAAATATTCGTTGATTCGGTTTTCTTAATTTCATATTTTTGTTTATAATAGATTTTTGACAATAAAAACAAACTTTTAAGAAAAATAAATATATATATATATATATGGCTTTAATAATTGTCTATTTAGTTCAGATGTATAAATATAACATATAATTTCTAATTATTATTAAAAGTATCCGAATAACGGATATTTTGCGACAAAATATACATCACTATGACACATTTTCTTATTTTTACTTATTTTCCTTGTCATTTTTGATAAATTTTTGCAATTATTGATAAATTTCTTTGATATTTGACTAATTTTAATGCCGGCGAATATATTTTGCATTAGTATAACACTAATCAATATAATTTACATGGTTAATTACTTTATGGCATTATATTTAACCAACAAACTTTGAAAAAGCCAAATCAAATGATTTTGTCCATCATTTGGTTGACAGACGGGCATTTCCAAATTGCCTAAAAATAGTGCTGGACAATTGGAATATTGTCAAATATTCATGCATTAATCCAATAATGCCTAGATTTGAGTTTTTTCCTCAAAATATAATCGTTTAAAAATTTTCTGGGATTTTATTTACAAATTTGTAAACGTTAAAATTAGAATTTTTAGATTTTATTTTAAAAGAAACCATAATTAGTTTTCGCAATCAACCTAAAATTACCGGAAAAATCTTTATCTGTGAAAAATATTGTTAAAAATCAACTTATTGTTGGCTTAAAGAAGGGTCGAGCCTACAATAAAATTCTTCTAATTGTCAATGGTTTATTGAAGGTGTTTTAAGCTATTTCACGTTTATAAATACGATTTTCCTGAATTTTGCCTAAAATTGTTTAATAAACCTAAAATAAGTTTTTATAAATACAGCCGATAGGCTTTAATCAGGGACTAAGACGATAAAAATCGGATATATAGTTTGGAAGATATCAAATTTAATTATTGTTGGAAAAAATCTTAAGAAATATGAACTTTGAACCTTAATAAAATCCTAACCGTACGAATTTTAAAATTTTGGAGAATTTTAAATTTCGTATGTATGTAAAGAATGTGGGCATCGAATTTCCTCGAAATTGAAGAGGGCCATGTTCAAAATCCCACTTTTTTGTTAAAAATTTGTTGACATTACCCAATAAATATGGAAAAATATTGAAATAATATTAATAATCAACATATTTTTTTATAACACATATGTACAATAGGGTTATGACTTTTTTTTGGGCGGCAAAATACCATAGTACTGCCTTAAAGCTAATACTGTCCTGATAATTTAAGGCTATTTTTTAAGTCAAATCGGTCAAAAAACTTCCCGCACCGAAAGCAGTTTCTAAAATGCTTTCGTTCGTTATTTTTCAAAAATTATTTTAATAATTTTCATATAATAGTATACTATTTTCTATAACCTGCAATATTATCGTGATTTGTTAAAATTTCCATAACAAGGATTTAAGAACAATGTTCTCTTTAAGATATTGTAATACAAATGCAAAAATGTTGACAAAAATTATTTATTTTTCTCATATAGAAAAAATAAAATTTATACAAAACTTAATCGCCTATGGTGCGAGAACTTTTTTCACGATCGCGAAAAAATAATATCATATTCCTTAACATCTGTTCACGCCCTACAAGCTCTTGCTATGGTATTTTTGATATTTGTAAAAATTGCAGAAAGTCAAAACCCTAATGTACAATGCTCATAAATCTGATTTGATTAAATTAATATTTATGAATTAAATTTTAAAGTTTTAATGAAATTTGTTAACATGAAATCAAAAGGAAAATTCCAATTTTCGAAAATTTGTATTCTTTTTTTTTGAGCTTTTGGATTTTATATGACAATATAATTCTTTTCTAAGACAAAATTCGTATTAATTGAAATGTCATTGGAAAATCTTTTTTCTGCAAAACATATTGCCTATATACTTACATATCGAAAAGAGCATCTTACTCATTTATAAAATGATTTTCTTGATTTTCAATAGTAAAATTCTCGAAAGCATGTCTGATAGAATTTTTGAAGAATTGGATCCTGAAAATATCTGGGGTCTTTGGAAAATTGATTTTAACATGCAGACAGGCGGATGTACATAGCTATCTTCTACAAAGATTCAGAATAAGTATATACATACATTTTATAGGGTCAGAAAATTCTATTGTGGAAATTACAAACGGAAACGAAGGTAAAGGGTATAAAAAGGAAAAACGTGTAGTTATATTAGCACCTATTAAACACTCGATGGAGTTTACAATAGAAACGTCCAAACTTAATGTTACATGCATACATACATATGTATGTATGTATATCTAAAATAGAAAATAATAAAACAATGTTAAACATTTAAGTACGTCTTAAAACCAGTTCAGTAGCTCACATTTATCTCTTTTTGTTGCTATTTACTTCATTTGTTAAATCACACATTAACGATTTTGATTTCAATTACATTTCAAAACAAAGAGGAAATAAAAAGATACTTCAACTATAAAAACTACGACAAAATCAATTTTGGGCAACAAACATCATTTGCTCTTTAAGCAAGTAACATACGAATTACACATTCATTTAACCGGTCACTTTTATAATTAATCAAAATGGCATTCAAGGTTCGGATACTATACCAATCTTATTTCAACTCTAAAGAGATAATAATACAATATTAGCAAACTTCAAATATGTACTTATATTTTTATTATTCCTATTATAGTTTGTCGCTGTCTTTGCTTTGCTCGCTGTCGCCAATGCTGGTTTCCTCCCAGCTGCTCAAGTATACCATGCTGCTCCTGCCGCTGTTGTTAAAACTGTTGCTCCCGTAGCCCATTATGCTGCTCAACCTGTTTTGGCAAAAGCTGATGATGAATACGATCCTCATCCTCAATACAAATATGGATACAATGTACAAGACAACCTTTCTGGTGACTCCAAGCATCAAGTTGAAGAACGCGATGGTGATGTAGTACGTGGTGAATACTCTTTGATCGATGCTGATGGCTTCAAACGTACCGTTCAATATACTGCCGATCCCGTCAACGGTTTCAACGCTGTTGTCAACCGCGAACCTCTTGTCAAAGCTGTAGTTGCACCTACTGTAGTTAAGACTGTTGCTCCCGTAGCTCACTATGCTGCTCCAGCTGTAGTCAAGACTGTTGCTCCCGTTGCCCACTACGCTGCTCCAGCTGTTGTTAAGACTGTTGCTCCAGTAGCTCACTACGCTGCTCCAGCTTACACCACCTACTCTGCCCCATCCCACTACGTTTCCCATCACTAAATGTCATTTTTGATAAATCATACCGTGACTGATCATTAATTAGATAAATATGATTGTTTTTTAATTTATAGTTAAATAAATTTATTAAATTTAAAAAAATATATTTAAAAATTTATTATGTTAGAAGAAACAAATAAGAGTGTTATGTTCTGCTATGCCGAATCTTATATTCACACGATCAAATTAAAATTGAATTTCAGAAGGTGGTCCACTATGTCCATATATGTAAATATAGTCTTTACGAATCAATCCTTTTCATTTGGCACAACGATTTACCTAGTTATTAGATTTCACACGTTAGCCCTACATAAGGTCTTTATTAATCGTTCCTTTATTATTTGCTACCACGATCTATCAGTTACTAGCAAGGCAAGGATTTTCATGCACTTAAAAATGAAAAATATGCGCTTATAACATGCACTATAAAATGGGAAAATATGCCCCAAAAATGTGAAAAAAATATGCACCAAAAAATATTTTCTTACGAAATTTATTTGTTATCACTAATTTCACTTTTATCGTATTTAAGTACATTTTTCTTATAAATATTTAGAACTTAAGTTTTTGACCACAAATATATAGGTTCTTCATAACAGAAATAACGCTGTATGTACTCTAATACCAATTTAACAGAATCACGATCTCGAGAATGATAATAATTATAAAGACTAAGGAACACCTATAAATAATATGGGCAATTTCGTGTCAAATGGCCCAACTCAAAAAATCGATTTGGATGAAATTCGCTCCAAGGTTAGTACTATTGGATAGTAGGCCATAAACATCAGTCAAGAACTGCCGGAGGTAGAGAGGGCCAAAGTTGACATTTTGGTCATACAGGGTTTTTTCAAATGAGTGTAACATTTCACCTATTGATCCTAGCAAAAGATTGCAAAGGAGTTTAGATAGCTACTGTTTACAAGTTTTTTATTTAATTCTAGGGATGTAACGAATGTTCGCTTTCGCATATGCGAATTATTCGCTTCCTTTTTATACCCACCATCAAAAAAGATGGGGGTATATTGATTTTGTCATTCCGTTTGTAACACATCGAAATATTGGTCATATACCCACAAAAGAATATATATTCTGCCTCCTTATTAAATTCTAAGACGATCTAGCCATGTCCGTCCGTCTGTCTGCCTGTTGAAAACGATAGAGTCCGAACGGAATGAGCAAGATGAAATTTTTCACAAATATAGGTAAGGTTTGTTTGGTATTGAAAATGAGCAATATTGGTCCACGTTTTCGGATAGCCCCCATACAAGTGTACCACCGAAAAACAGCTTTAACGAGCATATCTGTTTTAAAAGTACGAGTATAGCGATGAAATTGACCCTACCTCCCATATAAGGTCCCCTTCTTAAAATCACTATAACGCTCAATGAATAAAAAATACGCGTATGTTTTATACAAGCCTTGACGACCTTGCCGAATTTCGAAATGATCGGACTTCATTTGACCCTAGCCCCCATACAAAGCCCCTCTTCAGAAAGTGACTTGAATATACGAAATTCATTTATTAGCACTGTTATTGCTATGAAATTTAGCACAGACAAATATTAACTATAAAATAAGTTTTTCGTTAATAAATTGCTTAAATAAATCGGAACCAAGGTAATATTCAAGATAAATGCTTTATTATGAAAAATAAATCACATTTAATATTCATAACTAATGTTGGGTATAATATGGTCGGCCAAGCCCGACTATACTTTCTTACTTGTTACAATTTGGAAACAAATGTATACCCAAAAAGGTTCAGTTAATAATATAACTTAACAGTTCGAAAAAATCAATAAATCTAAATACATACTTATGTACATATTATATATTTATATGTATACATATAAACACACTGCACGCAGAGAAAAAATATGGTTGTGGTAACCATAATCTAAGAGCAACATATTATGGTTAGAATTATGGTTAAAGTTAAAACATATTATGATCATTATTAGTATAATAAGATATCATATTATGATTAAATATAGTCCGAATATTTCATCATAATATAGTTTTATTAATCATAATGTGATGTGGCATCATATTGCAGTTTGAAGTAACCATATTATGGTTTCATGTAATTATATAATTGTTTCAAGTAATCATATTATTGTTTCAAGTAACCATATTATGGTTTCAAGTAATCACATATTAAACATAATATGGTTAATCTAGTGTGTTCCGTATGAATTGTAATTATATTTTTAGTTTTCTTTTAAACAAACACAAAACTTCCAAGCACTGGTATTCCCATAAATAAAAATTAATATATCCACACTTTCATGTTAATATTAAGATAATTTACATTTTTTTTAATTATTAATTTTTATGTATTTTATATTTCTTTTAAATTTTATAATGTTGTCTACGATTATATTTTTAGATATTATTTATTTTTCACAATTATTTCAACACTTTGTTTGTTCAACAATTTATTTAATCCGATCTAGTACAAATAAAACATACAACTGATATAAAAATGACGATACCAAAATAATTTTAATAGTAAACGTATTTTGCTTATATCTTAAACATTTTATGGGTAAACATGTAAAAACCTACTATTTAATGGTTGTTTGAAAGTTTAAATGGTTCTAAATATAATATAATATGTTTACATGGTTATCATTATTTATTTGTTGTAAAAATAATTATTTTTCTGAGAATCATTCTCAAATTTATAATTGTCATAAACATATAAATGTTTACAGTAACTAAAATATTGAGGAAATTCAATAAAAATAACAATTGTTTGGCTATAACAACAAAATATTGTTACAAAAACATAGAATAGTTGTCCTAACCATGTCGAACAAAAAAATATTTTTTTTAAATTATTAATATATAATTTTGAAACATTTTGCATAAAAAACCATGTTTTCAAACATATCTCTTCAAATTAGAGGATAAATTGTGCATGCAAATTTAGGTCCGGTTGCAGGCAAATCCCTATGTAAGTACGTCTTTTAAATTTAAAAGCTGCAATAAGTTTAATAATGTTTTATTTCACCTAGCCCCCATACAACCCTACCCCCCGGAAAGGGCTCTTGAGTTCATAATTATTTTAAATATTGTAGTATCTCTACAAAAATCGTCAAAACTTCTACATACGTCTTAATAATACTACCAATTTTCATAATTATCGGACTTTATTTGTCCCTAGCCCCCATACAAAGTCACCTTCAGAAAATGACTTGAAGGTCAATAATTTACTAATAAACACTAGTATCACGATGAAATCCAGCATACATAACTCTAATATAAAAGTAAAGCCACATTTTTAACATACTCAGTGATGTAGGGTATCATGCCCGACTATACTTTCCTACTTGTTTTCACTTGGAATTGTGCAGGAGGTTTGCAAAAGAGCAAAACCACCATTTATGGCGTCTTTTTATGAACTAGAGTTCGCCAAGCGGTCGAAATTCGACCAGAACCAATGCTGGAAAAATTGCATAAATAAGCTAAAATAAAACCCTATTTTTGTAGTTCAAATCTGTGGTAAAAAATTAACTTTATTGATATTATCAAAGTGTATAATTTGCTTTGAATAATGTTTTCTTCTAGAAAATGTGATGGGTTTTAGTAAAACTTCCATCAGAAGTTTAAAGCCTCAATTGTCAAAATTAGTTATACAACTTGTTTTACAAAAGTATTTCAACTATTTTAAAAATAATAAAAAATAACGAACATTTCTTCTATCGACTTATTATCCCCTACATATTTACGCATCGCTCACAATGCTGGAGTACTCTACTGTACAGTGTACACACCAGTAAAGAAATGTTAGCTGTTCAAAATACAGAGTTGAAATGTTCTAAATAATTTGTGAAAACAGTAAAAATATTTAAAATAAATAATGTCTTATCTAATTATAAATAAATTTTATTTGGATGTCATTAGTAGTCCATCCAACAGGTATATGCTGTATAAATTTTTCCTTATAACGCTCGACAAAGACTTCAGCAGACATACATTTATTCAATTTTAATGTCTTCTAATAGAATTTAATAGTAGATATTCTATGAGGCCTTCTAATGGGCCTTTTATTAGCCTTCATATAGAACCGCATAACGATATGCATTGGCTTCCAATTACACACTGATTTTGTATATGCATAATAAGGCCTTAATTTCTCAAGTACTGTTTTTAGTACTGTTTGAAAGAAATCATTAATAAACTATAAATTTCAGTCTTTTGTTAATATATGCAAGTTTAATAGCAAGTAAATGAATAATAAACGATAAATTGCTAAGTACGGTTAAACACTCTTCATCCCAAAAGACTTGATTTATATTTAGCAGTTTCAACTTGTATCTATTTTTATATAACAAATAACCATCACATATTCAACTTACAGTTTTCACTTTACACTACTATTTCCTAATTGGTTAGAATAGCCCAAAAAAAGAAGAATATCATCAAGTCCTCGCTGTGCTAAACTGCATATAAGCGATATACATATCCATTTATTGCGGTGTATCATATACCGGCATGACCAACTAAACTTTACTTATATTTTTTACAGGCTATTTTTATTTCTTACTGACACTGAATCAATTCGTTAATCCATCATTTAAATCTTCCAAATCAATCAAAACTAATAATTATGTACCGCAATTCAGTATTTTTTTTAACTACAACATTTTGTCGTTATGTGGTATGTATTCTGAACTTCATTTCACCGATTTTTTTCGTTAAACATAATCGAAAAAGTAAAAAATAAATTAAAACTTCACGTTAATAATTTTATATTTTAAAAATATTTCAATACATAACTTTTGACATTCTAATATTTTTCCGATATTTGTCTTTAAAATATTCTACGGTTGTTAAAAAGTTAGAGAAATTCGTTAATGTAACTGATATTTGTCATTACTTTTAGATATCAATACTTAAAATTAAAAAAAAAATTACTGAATTCCGGTACTGATGTCCTACCAATAATTTTCCAGTTCAAACACCAATATCAGTACATTGTTTGGCATTTCTTTAGGTGTCCCCAAGCATTATTTACGCATGTTTTTATATTCCCAGTTCGTTGTTTCCTCGGGAATGTCCTTCAATTTAACTATTTTGAAAAGTTTAAATAACG